GTTGAACTGGCAGATTTACAGAAGGCTGTCTTTTAATTTGGGTCCTTCTATATTTTTTTGAAACTTACAAACATTTTATACTGTTTTGAAGCTCTTATTAACAAGATTACAAGAAAGATACTTAAAGTAAGCACAGATATTTCTTCCTGACTATTGTTTTATTTAACAGCATTGTTTTATTGCAGCCTCTGGATAAAAAGAAGAGATACAATTGTATGAATAAGCAAATAAATTCAGCTTATAGAACAATTTTATTATTTTTTGCTAAGAAGTCAGTTCCACTGAAATCAATTATTGCAGCCTTACACTGCCAGGAAATTGGTTCCATTGAATGCAGTGAAACATACTGTCAGATCCCTAAAAGTGATACTGCCATTCAATTGGAGGAAGGGGGAGACTTGGATTCGATTTACTAGCATGGCCTTGTCAACAGATATTTTACAACATATATCCTGGTGCCAAAGAGGCCTGAGATTCCCTTTACCTGAAGGAATTTATATGGTAGCCATGTGGGTTGCCTCACTTTAAAGCATACTGGTGGGAATACATGTTTGTTCGGGTTCTCAGAGGAAATAGTAAAGAAAACAGTTTCACACTTGTGTATTGGCTAAAATCTGCATTCTGACTTAAAGGGAGGGGTCTCTACTGCTTTAATCCTACTTGTCTTGCCTAAGGGTATTCAGATCGTGTTTAACTGGATGGCTTTCACTTCTGCTTAATAAAAGAATCCTTTTGAACATCCACGTTTCAAGAGTTCATAGTTTCTTAAGTTGGAAGGAGAGGCGATCCTTATAGAAAGCACGATCTGCAAAACGGTCAACCGAGAGAAGCAATCTTCGCTCTACTGAAGGGACCTTTGCAAACCTTGTCTGAACGAAGCAGAGAGCTGGGAGAAATCGATTGCTGGGTGGAGACATCAACCGCCACCCAGTCGGATGCCTGCTTCGTGCACCCCATCGGAGAAGATGAGGTAACCCTGGAGAATCCTGAAAAGCCCCGCTGGTCAATTGGCATCAGGAAGAAAGATGGCTGGGATGAGAGAACCAGAGGAGTTACCCTCAACCATGGCAACCGAAAACCAGGGTGGAAACTGGAACTAGAAGCCCTTGCTGACCAGGGGGGACTGACCAAAGCATCACTGAGGGAGGACTATCTGAAGAGGCATATAACCCAATTGATGATGGAAATTTTGGAAAATCTCAACATCCGAAGGGAGCCAGGACAACAACCAAAGGGCGCGGAAAGGGCAGCAGTCGCAGATGATGCAACAGGAGGCACCCCCCTTCTGGAGCCTGCCTATCGAGCAGAGGGCACAGCAGCAGTGGGAGAAGACCCAACAACCCCTCCCCTCCAGGCAGCACACACACCGGCGCACATTCCCAACCAGCCCCGGGTCCCGCAACTGGAAAGAGAAACTCCCCCTGTTGGGGTGAAGTTTGATGGGAATCCGCAACAATTAGGATTCTTTGTGGCACATGTGCTAACCTACATGCAAGAGTATGGGCATGATTTCCAAACCCAAGGATCCTGAGTGTGAGTTGTGACCCTAGCCCTAGAGGGTGCCGTAGCCAGATGGATGGTGACCCTACATAATGCCAATGCACCAGAACTGTGGGTTTTTGACCATTTCATGATGGCCCTGCAATGTCAGTTCGAGGACCCACTGGCAGATCGCAAAGCACACGACCACATTAAGGTGGTGAAGCAGGGGCGACGGCCAGTAGCAGAGTATACTGAAGAATTCTGGAACCTCGTGTGTCATGTGCACTGGCCGGAAGATATTTTGGTGAGCTGTTTCAAGGATGGGCTGAGTGATGATCTATACAATGCCTGCATGGCCCAAGAGGCACCGAATGACCTATATGAATGGTATGTCACCGCCGAAGAAGCTGAGATCAATATGGCCAGAAACCAATATCGAGTGGGCAATGGAAGCAAGAGCCCCTCAAACCACAAACTGCATTCTCCCCGAGATCTTCAGCCTGTTTCAAGTGTGGAAAAGAAGGGCACCGAGCTGCAGAGTGTTATTTGCAAACACCTGCCCAGAACCACCCACCGGGGGAGAACCCTGCAAAACTGGGTCGGCGTGGGAAGGAGACTGCCCTGAGGAGCAGGCAGACCACAGAGATTCCATCCCCTCCCCCCTTTGGGGAGGAAACCCTGGCATCTGAACAGGAGGAATCACACTCATTCGGAAGCGATCCAGATGATGAACCACTGGTAAGCAAACCAATTAAACTGCTTACCCTCCCCTTAAGACTATTTATCCCAAACCAGGACAGGGAGATAAGTATCTCCACTCTAGTGGATTCAGGGTGCACCCGTTGTTTGATCAGCCCAACCCTAGTAGGGAAGTTAGGGATTAATGTAAGAAAGCTGAAAAACCCTATTGCTTTCTGCCAACTAGATGGGTCAATAGCAGGAGGGGAGCTGAGAACATTTATTGAGAAAAACCTAGCAAGGGGTTTCATCGAACCAACCCGACCAAAAATTACAGCTCCAGTGCTCTTTAGAGGGAAAAAAGATGGCTCAAAATGTCTCTGTGTTGATTTTAGAAACCTCAATACTATCAGTGTGGAGAACATGTATCCTCTCCTGCTTATGAAAGATATGCTAGCACACCTCGCTAAAGGGAAAAAATTTTTCAAAGCTGGACTTAAGGGAGGCTTACTACTGTGTCAGAATTAAGGAAGGGGATGAGTGGAAAACATTTAACACCCCCCTCAGCTGCTACGAATTCAAGGTGCTCCCCTTTGGGTTGCAAGGAGCTCCTGCAGTGTTTATGCAGTTAATAAATGAAGTGCTGCATCATCATTTATATAAGGGGGTCTTGGTCTACTTAGACGACATTTTAATCTATACCGAGACCAAAGCAGAACATGTAAAACTAGTCAGGGTGGTTTTAAATAAACTCTGCTCTGCCAAACTTTACGCCAAACTTTCCAAATGTGAATTCCACCAGGAGAAGATTGACTATTTGGGATACCGCATTTCACACCAGGGAGTTGAGATGAATCCTCTAAAAGTGCAGGCTGTACTTGATTGGGACCTTCCATGCACACATAAACAGTTACAGAGCTTCCTGGGGTTTGCCAACTTTTACCTCCATATTACATTCGTATGTCCCCACTACCGGGATATAAGATCAAGACTCATTTCTCCTATTTCCCAGAGATTCCCTGGTTCACCTGATATGTTCAGCCTTTATTTCCTACTCCAGGACACAGACCCCAATATAACTCTAAAGGTGGCAAAAATTTTTGCTACGGTCGTGGCTGGAAAAAAACAGGAAAAGAGACGGGTATGCCCGATGGCAGAGGATCACCAGCATCGACAGTACAGATTGTATTTGAGGCAGTAGATGGTGTACTGTCCCATGATCTATCTATATTTGTAAAATATTCTCCCTTTCTTTGTCTATTTTAATTTGGTCTCTGACCACAATAAAGCTTACTACTTACTTACCTCCAGTTTATCCTTGCTTTTGCTCAGACCCATCACCAAGCTCTTAAAAACGAAGGGGGAGGACAATCCTAAACCAAAGCAGCCATTGAACTGGACGATGGAATGCCAGGCGGCATTTGAAAAACTTAAATGGCTGTTCTTGGCAGAACCAATTCTAAAACACCCGGACACAGAGAAACCATTTGTCATACAAGCAGATGCCAGCGATGTGGCAATAGGAGCGGTCCTGCTTCAGAAGAATGAGCAAGACCAACTACAACCCTGCACTTACACATCCAAAAAGTTGAATGAGACTGAGCATATATATATGTTTTCTCAGGTGTTTGTATGTAGGTCTTTGGTTATTCGGGTCTTCTCCCACGTAAAATTGGAAGTGTCTTGGCGACGTTTCGACGAAGTCTCATTTGTCATCTTCAGGCTGGTGTTCTCGGCTTCGTGCTCCTGGAACACCATATATATATATGTCTCTGTATATATTTATGGTTAACTCCCACTCTGTCTACATCATCCCCAAAACCACTCCTACTTATCTCTGACCACTCCTCCCTTGTATATATATCGAACTCTCCCTGATTCTTGGCTCTTCCTCTGCTTCTCCTGTAAGAGATCAGATATGAATAAATGACAATTTTTATCATCATAAAAGACTCTGAGTAATTATTGGGCAAGATCCTCGAATTCTAACAATTATGATAGCAGAGGATGGTTTACTGCCCAACTAAATCCAGATATGTCTGAAAACAACGAAATTCAAAAATCCAAAAGAAAAAGAACCAATCCTTGGGCTTGTACACAAAAGATGGCAGCCCAACTTTCACCAGAGACCTACACCTCGAAGGAGACTTCAACAAAAGGAGATGAGAAAGAAACCTCCGTTGAAATCTCGCCAAGCAAGGAAGATACTCTTAAAAGAAACCTGCTGGAAATGATCAACAACACACCAGGCAAACAAGAATTAATTGTGAAACTCCAAGATCTAATAAAAGACTGTGGAGCAGCGACTAAGAACAACAAACCTGACCCCGAAACAGAACAAGAAGACCTCGATCCGGTAAGAGAATCCACCATCTGTCTAACACCCATCAAAAGAGCAGAAACAACTTTCGCGCCTTTTTTGAGGCAGCCATCTTGCCCAGAAATATTAACTAAAATGGCCGACCAATCACAGAGGGGGTCTCCCAATACTAAGGCAGGAACGAGGGCCTACTCACTAGAAAACCTATCGGACAGTGATGATAAAAGTGAAGAAGGAAATTACAACCCTCCTGAAAAACTGTCCAGCAGAGAAGAAATAGAGAAGGCCATGCAAATTTTAACAGCAGCCTTCGGTAAAGATATAAAGTTCCCCAATGAAAGCCCAAACGCTTCCAAAAACGCAACAAAAAACTACCACACTGAAATGGACTCTAACAAAGCCTACCCAAGAAACCACCGCGACCGTACCAACACCCCCATGCCAACGCTACAACCCTGGGATGCACACGAATGACAAACAGCAACCACACCGATCCCCAGAAAGCAAGAAAAATACTTACCAATCCTGCAGATACCGAAGAGACATCCCGATCCTGCGACAGGCGACATCTTCAATCCACTCCCCCTCAATGAATGCAACGCGGAGCCAAGCTTCCCTGATGTCTGGCACTTCGCTGCAGGTCTTCAACACCAAACGATGATCCGGAGAGGCATCCTGGGAGACCACATGACGATTCGAGATCCTTTCGATCTCCCAGAGGCTTCCGGACCAGAACCGACCCTCTGCCCAAGTGAATGGGGTCTACGAGTGAGAGCTCCAGCTGAGAGATCCTTGCCTGATGACTGCACAGTGCAAATGAGAGGTAAGCATGCGCAGAAACAACCACCTATGAAACAAGAGAGAGACATAGAAGCAAGTCACTACAGACTGCCTAACTGTATTCCAATACCATATTGTGAGTTTCCTCACATTGTAAACCATGGACAGCGCCTGCCTGTAAGTAATACACCACATAACACAGGAACTTTACCCATTGACTTTCCAAAACTAAAAATTGATGGAACTAATTTATTAGAGTGGAACCAACAATTGCAAATTATTTTTTTAAAAGAAAACATTTTATTTCTAATCAACAATCCACCTAAAAAACCCTGGTCTTTTGAGTTAGACTGTTTACATCACAGGGCTTTCTATTTGTTAATTGCTAGCATATCCCCTTGTATTTACCCCAGTCTGAGTGACCACTTAACTGTAACTGAAATGATACAAAAATTGTTCACTTTGTTTTATAGCAGAAGCAGGGCAACAACTACCAGAATTTCCAGAGAATTTTATTCCGCAAAACTGAAAATAGGTATGTCTATGAGTGAACACTTGCTTGCACTTAATGCAACTAGAGCAGATCTAATCCAAAGAGGTGAGAACATAACAGATGAAAGCATGAAAAGTATAATCATTAATTCCTTAGATCAAAGCTGGGACAATTTCATATCTCAATTAGATAGTCTTAACATAAAATACTTATCAGTAGAGAACCTATCAAGCAAACTGATTGCTGAAGATAACTTATGAAAGAATCGAAATATGTCTTGCAGAGAGTACAAAACAGATAGAAAACCAATCACTACAGACAGATACAGTTATCACCCTGAATGTTACTTGTGTGGATCTAAGAATCACTATAGAAGAGACTGTCCTAAGGTTACCCGAAGTAAAGATCATAATTATCATAGAGACAAAGCAGAACATAGATACAAACATTCTCCAGAACACAGATTTAGACGTAGAGACTCTCCAAACCCCAATAATAGAAAAGAACATAGAGATAGTTCCAGAGAGAAATACTCAGGGTCACTATATGGGCTCACAAAACAGGGATACAATAGCAAATACATCAAAAGGGAAAACCTTCGGTTAATCGATTCAGGTGCAACCAATCACACCACGTATGATGCCAGTCTATTATCTTCATTCATTAATGAAAATTCCTCAGTCAAAGTAGCCAATCAAACTAATGTCAAGGTAATTGGAAAAGGAGATATAATCTTAGCAGAAATTGGTAAAATAGAGGGGGTCTTAATCACACCCGACATCCCATACAATATACTGGCTGCCTTATGACTCAGCCAAGACTTAGATATAGAAATTGAAATTAAAGCAGACCAAACCTTCATGAACAAAAACGGAAAGCGTATAGGAAAGACCATTATTATTGATGGTTTACCTTATCTCAACACCTCAGGCACCAATCAACAACAAGCCAATACACTTACAGTATCAAAACATGCAACTAATGATAATACAAATAAGGGAAATCAATCAGTGACTCAAGGAGATAAGCCCTCAATAGGAAAACTGTTGCATGATGATTGTGCACATCTTCTGCACAGAAAATTAGGTCATATAAGTTTCCCCACAGTGCAAAAGATGAAGGAATATATTGATGGTTTAAAATTAAAAAACTGTGACAATTACCTTGAGTGTTCAATTTGTAAATCCGCCAAACTGAAAACAAAGCCCAGACCTAAAAAATCCATACATACCACTGATTCCATCTTCCAATTGATCCATATGGACTTAGTAGGACCATTCAAACCTTCCATAAAGTACAAAAAAAGATTTTTTCTAACCATAGTTGATGACTACAGTCGCTATGGGTTTGTATACACAATTAAGACAAGAGTGAAGTCTTTCATAAATTCAAAGAATTTTACAAATGAGTTGAAATTCAACATAATACTAAAATAAAACAGATCATGACCGACAGAGGGTCAGAATTTCTGTCCAAAGATTTTTCTAAATGGCTTAGGGAACAGGGAATACTTCATTACACATCTTGTCCATTTTCGGCTTTTCAGAACAGTATTGTAGAAAGAAAAAACGGGGCGCTACAGGTAATGATGAGGTGCATACTAGAAGATGCTGGACTGGGAAAGGCATTCTGGTCAGAGGCCCTCCTATATTCTAATTATACAATCAACAGGTTGTGGTCCAGCACAATAAATTCAACTCCTTACGAATTGATGTATAAAAAGAAACCCAATATATCTCACTAACATGTTTTCGGAGTCACTGCTGACGTCCTCATTCCCAAACAAATTAGAAGAAAAGGGGACCAAGCATCTAAAAGACTCAGATTTATGGGGTACGAATCTGGCACCAAAAGGTATAGATTTATTGATAATCAAAACAACTTTATAATTTCCAGATCAGCCACATTTCATGAGAACGCTAATTGGTCTAAAATTCATCTAAACGAAATAATTCATACAACCCATAACTCAAATAATCAACTAGATTCAAATAGTGTGGATCACAACATACAACCAGTAATCAAAGCCAAACATAAAGAGGTTGACATTAAGGAATGTAAAGAAAATCATCCATTATTGAAATTAGACACTCTCTCTGACAAAGAGGCAAGATACTTACATGAGTCTATCACTCCAATAAACAGACCCATCAGAGAGAATAGAAACAAAAAACCTAGTAAATATAATGATTTTATCATGTCACTATATACTGAAGAATCTACCTCCACTTCATATGAAGAAGTAACAAAACTACCTCATGAGGAGAGAAATAAATGGGAAATAGCTATGAAAAAGGAACTAAATAGCTTAAAGGAACTAGACGTATACACCCCATCAGAAGTACCTAATGATAAATTTCCAATTGGAACAAAATGGATATATAAAATAAAAACCCTAGATAACAACAAAACCATCTATAAAGCTAGATTAGTGGCCCAAGGGTTTGCCCAAAAATATCCTGAAGATTATATGGAAACCTATTCTCCTACAGTAAGGATAGAAAGCGTAAAATGTGCACTAGTAATTGCCTCAATTTTGAAATTAGATGTATACCAATTCGACATTCAAACTGCCTATCTGCATGCCAAATTAGACAAGAAGATATATGTTAAAGCTCCCCCTGGTATACACCCACTTGAAGGTAACACATGGCTATTGAATAAGAGTCTATACGGACTGAAACAGTCTGGAAAACAATGGTACGATTGTTTATCCACCATACTAAAATCAACAGGATTCTCCCCCACTCCTGAAGATATGTGTTTCTTTTATAGGAAGAACAAGGACTATATAGAATATGTCCTTATCTATGTAGATGATATTTTATATATAGGGAACCAGAAACAAAAATGTGAGATATTCGCTCAAGAGTTAAACAAGCATTTCTCTCCAAAATCTCTAGGAAAAATAAACAAATATTTGGGAGTTCACATCACACAGATACAAAAGGGGTTCCAACTATGTCAAGAAGAAAAAATACTAGAGTTAATCAAAAAATGTAACCTGAGTGAAGCTAAGTATTGCAAAACACCTATGCATCCTGATTTTGTAAAAAATATGCATAACAAAAATGAACCTTTCACTAACAACAAATTATATAGATCAACAATAGGGTCTTTACTGTACATAGCTAATTGGACCAGACCCGACAGAGCATTACCTGTCAATTTATTATCTAGATATGTAAGCAAACCCACAATTTATCATTGGGAAGCCGTTAAAAAAATCCTTAAATACTTAAAATATAGTTCAGGTGCATCTCTGAGATTAGAACCAGATAACACACAAACACCCACACTCTCCTGTTATGCTGATGCTGATTGGGCAGGAGATATAAAGACTAGAAAAAGCACTTCAGATTATATTCTCTTTCTCAATGGTTGTCCCATACATTGGTACACCAGAAAACAAAATTTAGTTGCAACTTCTACAACCGAAGCTGAATTTGTGTGTTTATCAAAGGCTGCAAATAACCTCATATGGTTTGATGATTTATTAACTACCATATGGAATGAACCCAGTTACCCCATCATCATTTGTGAAGATAACAAAGCAGCCATAGAAATTTCTAAATCAGATGCAGTGGGTCAAAGATCCAGACACATCGATATTAAGTATAAGCATGTAAGGCAATTGTCTAATATTGGATTTTTAAAGACCATACATTGCGAAACAAATGAACAAATAGCAGACATACTTACGAAACCCTTACCTAACAAACAGCATTTATACGTAAGGTCTAAGTTAAACTTACAATTATCTTAGGCATTTAGAGGAGGTTCTGTTACATATGTAAATGCCTAATATATATATATGTCTCTGTATATATTTATGGTTAACTCCCACTCTGTCTACATCATCCCCAAAACCACTCCTACTTATCTCTGACCACTCCTCCCTTGTATATATATCGAACTCTCCCTGATTCTTGGCTCTTCCTCTGCTTCTCCTGTAACAGATCAGATATGAATAAATGACAATTATTATCATCATAAAAGACTCTGAGTAATTATTGGACAAGATCCTCGAATTCTAACAGAGGCTTATGCAGTTTGTTGGGCATTGTTAACCTGGAGGCACTTCCTAGAAGGTAGTAAGACTCCTTTTGAAGTCTGGACTGATCATAAAAATCTAGAAGCCCTAAAGACCCCAAGGAAACTCTCCCCAAAACAAGAATGATGGACTCAGTACTTTAAATGGTTTGATTTTACTCTAAAATATATCCCGAGGGGGAAAAACTTTCTGGCAGATGTGCTATCCAGAAAACCGCAATACCATAGTGCAAAATCAGACGCAATCAAACCCATAGTACAAAACAATCAACTAGCTGCTGAAGTAGTCACCAGACACAGGCAAAACAAGAGACATTTATGGGCAATGACACCACCCAAAATTTTAAACAAGCATTGGCCACTGATGAATGGTTTTTGAACAACAAATCCAGCTGTCTGATGAAAGAAGACTTGGCTTGGGTGGGGTGGAAGTTGTATGTTCCTGCCAGCCAAAGACTATGCTTAATGGTAAGGTGCCACAACTCCAAACTAGCTGGACATTTTGGGTTTGTGAAAACTTT